GTTCGGCATTCTGAAGTGCTGGGTCGAAACTCGCAGTTTTAGAAAACATTACAGATGGCGAATGGCTTAAAATCCGATTGGGATTCATTACGAACTACACTAGTAACTAATCTATTCCATAAATGTGTTTGGAACTCAAAAGGATCAAAGATTTTCATATAAAGATCAAAAAGTTGCTTCAGTTTCGAACAGCTATTTATGGAGTTAATTCAGTTATTATTTTCTTAAAATAATAATAACAATATTATAAAAAATTCAAAAAGTACCAGTTGAAGAATGAAAAAGTACTAAAAACTTCCCTTTTACAGGTTTTCATTTACTCTGGTCTTTACATGTATAATATCATGTTTCTAGATTCAATATTATAGAAAATTCAAAAAGTACCAGCTAAAGAACGTAAAAGTACCAAAAATGTTCATTTAATAGATTTTAATTTTATCCTGAATCTACAAGCTGAATTTCATTCTTTCTATGTTCAGTGTTATAGAATACTCTAAAAATACCAGTTAAAGAACGTAATAGTGCCAAAAAGTCCTTTTTATAGGTTCTCCTTTAATTCAGTGCTAAACATGCTTAATTTCATGTTTTAAGGTTCTATATTATAAAAAAAACTCAAAAAGTACCAGTTAAAGAACGAAAAAGTAACAAAACTAATCCTTGGTACCAGAGATAACTCGTTAGCATTTTTAATTTTTAAAATAAAAAAATGTAAAATATATTTTTTTTTTATTTTTCTCAATGAAGCTAATTAGCTTCTATAGATTTTATAAATTAAAAAAATCCAATTTATAAATATATTAAAAAACAACAGAAAACAAAATATCTAATTATTTTTAATGTAAATATTTTCTATTTAATATGAATTAAGTAAATCATAGAAATTACCTTTTAAGTTTTGATGACGTCACTGTCTGGACTTATATTTGCAGCACCACTGTCATAAACAGTGATAAAAACGAAGACAACAATAACATTTCACTCATTTTTTTTAATCAACACTCATTATCGTGAAAAACAACAAAACAAAAAACAATTGCACTCATTTAGGAAAAACATGAACAAGCAGAACTTTGTTGGAAAACATACTTTTTTTAAAAGACGCATTTTAATATAAAACATTTTTAAAGGCGCTTATATACATATAATATGTATGTATGTATATTTTTTTTATTTAAAACAAATTATAGATTAACATTTAAATGTAAATACTTTTTTTAAAGAAAATTTTCACAAATTATAAATATTTTATGAAAACACAATTTTGATTAAAATTAGCACATATTTTATACAACAGTAATTTGAATTTATTAAAAATAAATATTTTTATTGTTATAGGCTAGTTGACATGATTAGTTAATTATTAGTTTTATTATAACACATTTTTTAAACAATTTAATTCACGCACTTTTACTTTCACTTGCACTTTTTCAATAAAACAACCAAATTCCATAAAGTTCACGACATTACTAAATGGCATGAAGAATTATGCAAATAATATATTAATGAAATTCTTTAAGGAGAGAGAGTGGTAAGAATACAATAGAAAGGAAAAAAAAACAAATAAGGAGACACATGTTTTGATGAAATATCATCTTGTTGTTGTAATAACATAGTTTACAAACATTTATTACAAACACTAATTAATCATGTGGGAGAATAATAAATTTGTCACTCATTTACTCTCTGACCTTTTAATGAGCAAGTGCAAAGGAATTGTTTTTGTTTTAAGGTAATCTCCTAGTTTTGTTATTGTAATAATATTCATTTGTTTACGTTTTTATTAATTTTACGCATTGATCATGACATGTTAAGTTTATGTACGAACATACACAGGGTTGGCAAATAGAATTTTCAAATTATTCAAAACAGCATTAAATATTGTACTTTTTTGATTCCATTTGTACCAAATCATATTTTTTGGAAAATTTTATACACTTTCAAAATTAACATAAGCTACTCAATAAACAAATCAATTTGGTCAACAGATTGGTCCATAGACTAGACCAACGGTTCCCAAAAGGGGGTCCGCGGACCCCTAGTGGTCCGTAGCAAAATCCTAGGGGGTCCGCGAAGACGAACGAAAAAAATCATGAATAAAAAATATTATCTATATGTTAGAAAATATTAAAAATATCTCCAAATTTTTCATAAATACTAAAATACACAATTTTTATTCAATAATCCCAGATTTGTTGGTGACTCTTTGAATTTTATTGTTTCGGTCGTTTATCAGGATGAAGCTAGGCGCTACAAATTCATTGTTTCACTTTTATAAAGTAAAGTATTACTTGATTTGTAATTTTTATAAATATATATATATCGAAATAAATGTTTTTATAGCAGACGGATAATGATTTGCCTTAGAATTAAATACTGATACTGGTATCCCGGAATATGAAGTTAGGTCACATTTCATAATATTTTTTTAAATTGTAAGCAAAAGTGTTAATCTAGTTAATTTTAAATATAAATATTCCATTCCAACGTGATACACAGATTTTAACTTCATTTTGTTGTCCAATATTATTAAATCAACATCAGAAAATTCATAGCGTTTTGCGTAAATAGTCAAAACCACGCAGTAAAATAATTCGTAGGTATTTTAAAATTCAAATTTAAGATCCAAATTCACAGTACATTCGCAAAGAGTTCAGGTCATATTTTATGTGGGTAACGCATTCCGCAACAACATCGAAGAAGTCTAACTTTCACATATTTTCCCGAAAACTTAGCTTACATACTCAGCTCACTCCTATTCAATCGCAAAAAAATTTAGAAACATGACTCTTTAAGCACATGTCGACAATACTTGTTAAAGAAACCTTTTCTCTACCTTGACGAGAAATGAACATGAAAGCTCTCACGATCATAAAATTAAACATCATGTTAGAAGTCATTCTATATTTAAAACCATGAAATTGAAAACATCTCCGAAATACTAAATGTTCTCAATGTACGGGAATATTTTATAGGGTTTATGGACCAGGACTAAGACAATTTTCGGACGAACAATTACACAGTGATACAGCAAAAAAATGCAGGGGTTCTCATATACCAATTCCATTTCGTTATAGTCCATAGAGTAGGAATTTATTTTTAATTTTTCCCGATCACTTCGTTTAGTTCCTTTTTAAGAGCAAAAGTTGTGAAAAAGAGCTATTTTTGAAGTTTTAACTTTAAAAAAAATATACGTTTGGTAGTTTGCAACCGATTTTCAAATTGGATATTTTGTTTTAAAGATACAAGTGTTGTCTTTCAACCCAAAAAAATAAATCCAAAATTTATGATTAATGTCTTGGTTACGGCCATTTAAGTAAAAAAACTCACACTTTTTTCACAATTTTTAATTTTCATACTGCTCTACGTTGGCCATGAAGCAGTAACTTTAGCTTTTATTTCATTTGAAAAAAGGCACATTAAGTTGGGTTTCCAATGATGGTAAATTTATGATAATCGATGAAAAAGGTTATGAGTTGTGCTAAGTTTTATAAAAATATAGCATATTTCTTCCATACAAAAACGTTCATGTTTCTGGTTTTCTTTGTAACAAGTTTAAAAAATGTTTATAAACATTTTTATACAAAAATTAATTTGTATGAAGAAAACCAAAAATTCGAGAAACATGCTATTAGAAAAATTGGCATAAATCATCCAGTTTTTCATAGATTTTTATGAAATAACAAGTTTTAGAAACCTTCCTTTATGTGATTCTTCAGGAAAGTAATAAAAGATGAACTCACTGCGTCATGGTCAAAGTAGAGCATGATGAAAATGAAAATTTTTTAAAAAAGTGTGAGTTTTTTTACTTAAACGACCGTAACTCAGACATTTGACCATAAATTTTGGATTTCTTTTTTTGGATTAAAAGACACTTGTATCATTAAAAAAAATATCGGATGAAAATCGGACGAAAACTACTAAACTTATGATTTTTCAAATTTAAAACTTCAAAAATGGCTCTTTTTCGCATCTTTTGCTCTTAAAAAGTAAGTTAACGAAGTGATAGGGGAAAACTAAAAATATATTCGTACTCTATGGACTATAACGAAATAGAATTGGTATATGAGAACGCCTGCATTTTATTTTTCTTCACTTTTGTATCACAGTGTTATTTATAACAATAAGATATCAAAATATGTATGGGGGTCCGTGAAATTAAATAAATTCCTCAAGGGGTCCGCGAAGTAAAAAACGGTGGGAACCGCTGGACTAGACAGTCAATTGTCTCCCTAGACTAGACATACGTATACTAGACTAGTGTTACTAGTCTATAGGTAGACTAGTCATAGACTAGTCCCTAGAAAATTTTAAAGACAAGACCAGACCATACCAGAAAATTCATTAGACTGTCCAAAAATAGCAATTAAAAGACCCTTGAAATTATTTAAAATTTTAGCAATGTGAAAAAAATAATCCTAAATCTCTTGGTTGAACGTAATTTCTGCTTTTCTAAAAAAGATATCGAAGTAGAACTTTGTGTCAGAAGTACAGATTATTATTTCAATAAAGAAATAAATTTAAAATTTTACGAAATGTATAATTGGTACTTTTGAGGATTGCATTGTACCAGAAAATAAAGTACAATTGTACCAGTTTTACCAAACCTGTATAGGGTAATAACCAAAATTAGGCCCTATCATTTCCTGGTAGCCTGTAGTGTTCTAATAACGAAAACCTGTTTTTCAGATCATTTTGGTGGAAAAACCTTCGCGGTAAATCGATTTTATGAAACATTTCAGAAAAAAAATTTACATGAATTTTTAATAGTATAATCTACATGTTTGGCTATTTAATTTAAAAGAGGGATAAACCGCAGCTCCTATGATTATTAAAAACTCAAAAACGAAATATACCCCCTTTTACATATAGCTTGATTCTCAAAAAATACAATGTATAAAAAATACATTAAAAACACAAAAAAATAAATATTTAACTTTTTTTAATGTAAATATTTTAAATATAATTTGAAAAAAAAAAAAAAAATAAATCAAAGAAATTACCTTTTAAATTTTGATGATGTCACTGTCTGAAAAAAAATTAAAAAAGTAAATTATTTAAAAAATTAAAAAAAAAATAATAAATTTAAAAATAATTAAAAACATTTTTTGGAAACAATAAAGAAATAGCTATCTGAACTCCTTTGTGTAATTTTTTCTAGGACCAATAGATGAAAATTTACATTAATTTGAATAAAACCCTGTATAGAAAATTTTCATAATTTTATAGAAAATTCTTAAAATTTATCTTTTTATAAAAAATCTCAAAATTTTTCTTTTTAAAGAATAATTTCAAAATTTCCTGGTTTTAAAGAAAATTTTTAAAAACTCCTCTTTTTATAGAAAATTTTCAAAATTTTATCTTTTTATAGAACATTTTCTATTTTTAGAAAATTGTCTACATACATATTTATATTTATTTTATAGAAAATTCCTAAAATTCTCATTTTATAGAAAATTCCCAAAATTCTTAATTTATAGAAAATTTTCGCAGTTTTTTTAAGAAAATTTAAAAATATTCTCTTCTTATAGAAAATTCTCAAAATATTCTCTTTTTATAGAAAATTCTTAAAATTTCTAGGTTCAATATTATACAAAAATTCAAGAAGTACCATTTGAAGAACGAAAAAGTACGAAAAAGTCTAAGTTCTCATTTATTCCAGGAAAAGTAAATTTAAAATGTACCTTTTGAAGAACGAAAAAGTACCTTTTATAAGTTCCCATTTACTACTGGCTTTAACTACAAGTTTAATTTCATGCTTCTAGGTTCAATATTATAGAAAACTCAAAAAGTATCAGTTAAAGAACGATAAGGTACCAAAAATAGTCCTAATAGCATCAGAGTTATAAACAACACATTATTGGCAAATTTAATTTTTAAAGTATTAAACTGAAACATTTGTAAATTATTATTTTTAATTTTCCCATGCCTACATAATTTTTCACACAAAATTTTCCATCTCTGATTTTGATCTACTTCTTATATCGTAGATTTTTAGGGTCAAACATGTAATATAAAGGAATGTACGTTTCTATTAGATTTTATAAATTTAAAAAAAGGAATGTATAAATATATTAAAAAACAACAACAAACGAAGTATTTAATTATTTTTAATGTAAATATTTTCAATTTAATTTGAATTAAGTAAAATCATAGAAATTACCTTTAAAGTTTTGATGACGTCACTGTCTGGGCTTATATTTGCAATGCCACTGTTATAAACAGTGATTAAAACGAAGACAACAATAACGTTTCACTCATTTTTTTTAATCAACACTCATTATCGAGAAAAACAACAAAACAAAAACAATTGCACTCATTTAGGAAAAACATGCACAAGCAGAACTTTGTTGGAAAACACACTTTTTTTTAAAAAAGACGCATTTTAATACAAAACATTTTTAAAAGCGCTAATAAATACATATGTATGTATGTTTATACATATGTACATATATTTTTTCATTTAAAACAAATTATAGATTGACATTTAAATTTAAATACTTTTTTTTAAAGAAAATTTTCACAAATTATAAATATTTTATAAAAACACAATTTTGATTAAAATGGGCTCATATTTTACACAACTGTAATTTGAATTTATTAAAAATAAATATTTTTATTGTTATAGGCTAGTTGCAATGATTAGTTAATTATTTTTATTATTATAACACTTTTTTAAAACAATTTAATTCACGCACTTTTACTTTCACTTGCACTTTTTCAAAAAACAACCAAATTCCAGAAAGTTCACGACATTACTAAATGGCATGAAGAATTATGCAAATAATATATTAATGAAATTCTTTAAGGAGAGAGAGAGAGAGTGGTAAGAATACAATAGAAAAGGAAAAAAACAAATAAGGAGACACTTGTTTTGATGAAATATCATCTTGTTGTTGTAATAACATAGTTTACAAACATTTATTACAAACATCATGTGGGAGAATGATAAATTTGTCACTCATTTACTCTCTGACCTTTTAATGAGCAAGTGCAAAGGAATTTTTTTTTGTTTTAAGGTAATCTCCTATTAATGCAGTTTTGTTATTGTAATAATATTCATTTGTTTACGTTTGCAATAATTTTACGCTTTGATTTTGCTTATTATTTAATCGTTAAATAATTGTTTTTGTTAATTTTACGTACAAACATACACAGGGTTGGCAAATAGAATTTTCAAATTATATAAAACAGCAAACAAATCATACTTTTTTGAAAATTTTATTTCAATATGAAGAAATGAACAGTTCATTTGTATTAGCCCATAAAATACTCATTAGACTAGTCAATAAACATGAACATTTGGTCAACAGAATGGTACACATACTAGACAGTGAATTGCCGTCCAATGGACCACACAATAGGGTACTCCATAAACTAGACTACCCTATAGGTTAGACGTTAGAGTATTGATTAGCCTATAGATTAGAATGTATGTAAAATGTATATGTATTAGTCCAAAGACAAATTCATAGAGTAGTCTATAAACAAATACATATACATATGTATGAATGTAATAGAATATTCTATATACTAGACTCTAAAGACTATAGACAATAGGATAGTCAGAAAATAACACAAAGACTAATTCATAGACTAATCCCTAGAAATATTTATAGACCATATCATAGAAAATTCATTAGACTAGTCCATAAATAGCACTTAAAAGACCCTTGGAATTATTTAAAATTTTAGCGTTCGGATAAAAACATAATCCTAAATAAGTATATATGTATATGGATAGGGCCGATTTGAAATTTTCAAAAATTTTAAAGAAAACTTTCCAAATTTTTCTTTTTTTTATAAAAAATTTTCAAATTTTTTCTATTTTTTATAGAAAAATTTCCAAAATTTCATTTTTTTTATATAACATTTTTTTTCTTATTTTATGAAAAAAATTTCAAAATTATACGTTTTTATAGAAAATTCTTAAAATTTTCCCTTTTTATAGAAAAATTTTGAAAATTTGTCTATTTTTTACAGAAAAATTCTGATTTTTTTTTATAGAAAATTTTAAAAATATTTTCTTTTTAATGAAAATTCTAAACATAATAATTAAAAAATAATTTCTCTTCATAATTTTTCTTTTTCTAGAAAATTCTCAAAATGATTTCTTTTTATAGGAAATCTTTAAAATTTTTTTAAAATGTTGTCTTTTTATACAAAGTTCTCAAAATTTTTCTTTTTATATACAATTTTTAAAATACGCTCCTTTTTTTGAAAATTCTCAAATATTTCCCTTTTATAGAAAATTATTAAAATTCTCTGTTATTGATTTTCATTCTACAAAATATACATACATACATATGTATGTCTGATGATATGTTTCTAGATTCAATATTATATAAAATCCAAAAAGTTTAAGTTAAAGAACGAAAAAGTACCAATGTAAAATTTTTGAATGTAAAATTTTATGTTTCCAGATTTAAAAATTCAAAAAGTACCTACCTTTTCTACAACGAAAAAGTACTTTGATATTTACATACTTAATTTCATGTTTCTAGGTTCAAAATTATAGAAAATTAAAAAAATAACAGATGAAGACCAAAATTGTCTCATAAATTCCCCACTTATAGGTTCTCATTTACCCTATATGATTATTGAAAACTCAAAAACGAAAGATATATTTACTCGTTTACTCCTGTCTAAGCTTAATTCTCAAAAACTCAAAAGTACCAGTTAAAGAACAAAAAAGTACCAAAAATTCCTATTTTATAGGTTCCCATTTACTCTGGGCTCTATATGCTTAATTTCATATCTATGGGTGTTCAATATTATAAATAATTCAAAAAGTACAGGTAAAAGAACAAAATACAAAAAGATTAAAAATTTTAAGATAATTTTTGCAATTTTTTATTTTTCTCATGCCTGATTAATTTCCCACACAAGATTTTCCATCATTGATTTTGATATTATTTAATCTAGTTCTTATACCGGAGATTTTTAGTGTATAATAGCTTCTATAAGATTTTATAAATTAAAAAATATATAAGAAATATATTAAAAAACACAATAAAATATAAATATTTAATTATAATTATTTTTAATGTAAATATTTTAAATATAATTTGAAAAAAAATAAATCAAAAAAATTACCTTTTAAATTTTGATGATGTCACTGTCTGAAAAAAAATTAAAAAAGAAAATTATTAAAAAAAAACTATAAAAAAAATAAATAAATTTAAAAATAATTAAAAAATTTTTTGGAAACAATAAAGAAATAGCTATCTGAACTCCTTTTTAAAAAAAATCCTCTTTTTACAGAAAATTTTCAAAAAATCCTCTTTTTATAGAAAATTTTCAAAATTTTATAGAAAATTCTTAAAATTTATCTTTTTATAAAAAAATCTCAAAATTTTTCTTTTTAAAGAATAATTTCAAAATTTCCTGTTTTTATAGAAAATTTTCAAAAATTCCTCTTTTTATAAAATATTTTTCTCAAAATTTTATTTTTTATAGTAAATTTCTAAAATTATCATTTATAGAAAATTTTCGTAATTTTTTAAAGAAAATTCTCAAGATATTCTCTTTTTATAGAAATTACTCAAAATATTATCTTTTTATAGAAAATTTTCAAAATATCCTCTTTCTGTAGAAACTTATTAATATATTTTCTTTTTATAGAAAATTTTCAAAATATCCCCTTTTTTTAAACAATTTTCGTTCCAAAATGTTCCGTTTTTCAGGCTCTACATTCTTAATTTCTTGTTTCTAGGTTCAATCTTATAGAAAACTCAAAAAATACCAGTTAAAGAACGAAAGATACATTAAAAGTCCGCTTTTGTTGGTTATCACATACTTCTAGAACATTCAAAAAGCATTTTTTGAATAACGAAAAAGTCTGCTTTTATAGGTTCTCATACATACCAGGAAACGAAAACTTAAAATGTACCTTTTGAAGCACGAAAAAGTACCAAGAGTTCCTTTTTATAAGTTAAATAGGAACTACTGGCTTTAACTACAAGTTTCATTTCATGTTTCTACGTTCAATATTATACAAAACTCCAAAAGTACCAGTTAAAGAACAAAAAGGTACCAAAAATAGTCCTAATAGTACCAGAGTTGTAACTAACACCCTTTTTAAAATAGTAAACTGAAAAATTTTCTAATTATTATTTTTAATTTTCCAATCCATACATAATTTTCCACACAAAATTTTCCATCTCTGATTTTGATGTTATTTAATCTAGTTTCTATATCATAGATTTTTAGGGTTAAACATGTAATATTAAGGAATGTACATTAGTATCTATTAGATTTTATAAATTTAAGATTTTATAAATTTAAGAAAATACCATGTATAAATATCTTGAAAAACAATAACAAACGAAATATTTAATTATTTTTAATGTAAATATCTTAAACTTAATTTGAATTAAGTAAAATCATAGAACTAACCTTTTAGAATCTGATGGCGTCACTGTCTGGACTTATATTTGCAATGCCACTGTTATAAACAGTGATAAAAACGAAGAAAACAAAACATTTCACTCATTTTTTTAATCAACACTCATTATCGAGAAAAACAACAACACAAAAAACAATTGCACTCATTTAGGAAAAACATGCACAAGCAGAACTTTGTTGGAAAACACACTTTTTTTAAAAAGACGCATTTTAATATAAAACATTATGAAATATGCTAATACATAAATATATGTATGTTTGTATGTACATATGTGTATGTATTTTTTAATTTAAAACAAATTATAGATTAACATTTAAATTTAAATACTCTTTTTAAAGAAAATTTTCACAAATTATAAATATTTTATAATAACACAATTTTGATTAAAATTAGCACATATTTTACACAACTGTAATTTGAATTTATTAAAAACAAATATTTTATTGTTATAAGCTAGTTGCAATGATTATTTAATTATTTTTTTTTTATTATAACACTTTTTTAAGACAATTTAATTCACGCACTTTTACTTTCACTTTTGCACTTTTTCAAAAAAATCAACCAAATTCCAGAAAGTTTACGACATTACTAAATGGTACATATCAAGATTTATGCAAATATATTAATGAAATTCTTTAAGGAGAGAGTGTGGTAAGAATAAAACAGAAAATGAGAAAAACAAATAAGGAGACACTTGTTTTGATGTAATATCTTCTTGTTGTTGCAATAACATAGTTTACAAACATTATTACAAACACTAATTAATCATGCGGGAGACTGATAAATTTTTCACTCATTTACTCTCTGACCTTTTAAAGAGGAAGTGCATAAGGAATTGTTTTTGTTTTATGGTAATCTCCTATTAATGCAGTTTTGTTATTGTTATGATATTCATTTGTTTACGTTTTCATTAATTTTACGCTTTGATTTTGTTTACTATTTAATCGTTAAATATTATGACATAATGTTATTGTTATTGTTATGTATATAACCCTTTTGGGACGGCTGGGTAGCCAATTAGCTAGTGTCCAGCAAAAACATGGTAATAAATTGTACTTTGGCAACAACTTATATTTCAATGACTACTACATACCGTCTACATTACTTAGAAGAAGTCTAATATTGACACTTTTTGAATTTTTTAAAATATAAAACCAAAATACTGATTGAATGAGAATCTATAGGAAGGCATTCTTTGGTACTTTTTATACCCTTCACATTTGTACATATAACATATGCATATAAGTTTGTCAATTCGTTTGTAATTTCTATAATAAAATTTCCCGACCCTATAAGGTTATATATTCTGGATCCTTATAGATAACGGAGTCGATTTAGCCATGTCCGTCTGTCAGTCTGTGTGTATGTTAAAATCAGTGTTCAGAAGACCCCAGATATCTGTGAGATACGAAACTTCAATAATTCTACATATCGGACATACATATATACGTTCGGGAAGAACGATATTTAAAATCAGCAAAATCGCTCTATAAATAACGAAGATATGAGCAAAAAACCTAGATAAACTCTGAAAAAATCATAAAAAATTGGAATTTTTCATGCATGCTAAGACAGAAATTATAAACAAACAACAACACACAATATCATACGGTAAATTTTGTTCTTGTACTTGGATAAAGCAGTGTGTTGTTATTGGCTAGATGTATGAAATTAAGCATGTACAGCTCGGATTATGTGAGGACCTATAAAAGGGACTTTTTGGTACTTTTTCGTTCTTCGTTATTTGAACTTTAAAACATCGAATTGAATTTGGTTTTTGGATCCCCCATATGAACTAAATAGAAAAATTCGTATATCTGAGAAACTGTTATAGCTAGAATCTTCAAATTTTACATGAAGAACTTTTTACAAAAGAACTAAATGTTCACATATTTAGAGAAAAATGGGAGGAATTTCAATAGGGGGCTTAGTACCTCCCACGTGAATTATACACAAAATATATTATTATTCACATTTTTCATATGCAACATTAAAATCTTAATTAACGTTTGGAAAAGTTGCAATACTTTGCGTAGTATCTCATATATAAAAAATGTATATCTGGAAAACTATTATATTAAGAATCTTCAAAATCATTAAGTGGGTTTTTTTTATTGCTTTCAGGGTAGCAAAGCACACTGGGTATTGCTAGTAATAAATATTTGTCTAATATGGACACGGAGTTAATTTTCAAAAAATCAAAAGTACTCGTTGAAGAACGAAAAATTACCAAAAATTCCTCTTTTATAGGTTCCCATTTACTTTGGGATCTATGTACTTAATCTATAGGTTCAATATTATAAATAATTCAGAAAGTACAAGTAGAAGAACCAAGTACAAAAAAGTCCCCGTCCCCCCTTTATGGGTTCTCATTTACTGCGGGCTCATCATGCTTCATTTCATGTTTCTAGATTCAATAAGTTAAAGTTTGTTTTTGAGATTTTTAGTTTATAAAAGCTTCTATTAGATTTTATAAATTAAAAAAAATACAATGTATAAAATATATATTAAAAAACACACAAAAATATTTATTTCTTTAATGTAATGTAAAAGAAATTACCTTTTAAATTTTGATGACGTCACTTCCTGAAAAAAAAAATTGAAAAAGAAAATTATTTAAAAAATTAAAAAAAAGTAATAAATTTAAAAATAATTAAAAACATTTTTTGGAAACAATAAAGTAATAGTTATCTGAACCCCTTTGGGTAATTTTTTCTAGGATCAATAGGTGAAAAGTTACATTCATTTGAATAAAACCCTGTATAACCAAAACTTTGACTCCCTCTAAGTCCGACAGTTTTTTTACCGATAGAGCTAAAAATTTTTTTTTATCTTTTTATTAAAAAATATCAAAATTTTTCTTTTTATAGAATAATTTAAAAAATTCCTCTGTTTATAGAAATTTTAAAAAAATTCCTCTTTTTATAGAATATGTTTCTCAAAATATTCTCTTCTATAGAAAATTTCAAAAATTCTCATTTTATATAAAAATTCTCAAAATTCTCAATTTATAGAAAATTTTCGTAATTTTTTAAAGAAAATTCTCAAGATATTCTCTTTTTATAGAAATTACTCAAAATATTCTCTTTTTATAGAAAAATTTTCAAAATATCCCCTTTTTTAAAATAATTTTCGTTCCAAAATGTTCCGTTTTTCAGACTTTACATTCTTAATTTCTTGTTTCTAGGTTCAACATTATAGAAAACTCATAAAATACCAGTTAAAAAAGGAAAGATAGCTCAAAGTCAGCTTTTGTTGGTTCTCACTCCGGCAAAAATGTTTAATATTATAGAAAATTCAAAAAGCATTTTTTGAAAAACGAAAAAGTTCTCCTATCATATATTCCGGGAAAAGAAAACTTAAAATGTACCTTTTGAAGCACGAATAAGTACCAAGAGTTCCTTTTTATAAGTTCCCATTTACTACTGGCTTTAACCACAAGTTTCATTTCATGTTTCTACGTTCAATATTATAGAAAATTCCAAAAGTACCAGCTAAAAAATGAAAAGGTACCAAAAATAGTCTTAATAGTACCAGAGTTATAACTAACATCCTATTGGCAAATCTAATTTCTAAAGAAATAAACTGAAAAATTTTCAAATTATTATTTTTAATTTTCCCCTGCCTACATAATTTTTCACACAAAATTTTCCATCTATGATTTTGATGTTATTTAATCTAATTTCTATATCATAGATTTTTAGAGTTAAACATGTAATATTAAGGAATGTACATTAGTTTCTATTAGATTTTATAAATTTAAGAAAATGCCATTTATAAATATATTGAAAAATATATTGAAAAACAACAACAAACGAAATATTTAATTATTTTTAATGTAAATATTTTAAACTTAATTTGAATTAAGTAAAATCATAGAACTTACCTTTTAGAATGTGATGACGTCACTGTCTGAACTTATATTTGCAATGCCACTGTTATAAACAGTGATAAAAACGAAGAAAACAATAACATTTCACTCATTTTTTTAATCAACACTCATTATCGAGAAAAACAACAAAACAAAAACAATTGCACTCATTTAGGAAAAACATGCACAAGCAGAACTTTGTTGGAAAACACACTTTTTTTAAAAGACGCATTTTAATATAAAACATTTAATAAAGCGCTTATACATACAAATATGTATGTATACATGTATATATTTTTTTATTTAAAACATATTATGGATTAACATTTTAATTTAAATACTTTTTTAAAGAAAATTTTCACAAATTATAAATATATTATAATATCACAATTTTGATTAAAATTAGCACATATTTTACACAAATTTATTTATTGTTATAAGCTAGTTGCAATGATTATTTACTTATTTTTATTATAACACTTTTTTAAGACAATTTAATTCACGCGCTTTTACTTTCACTTGCACTTTTTCAATAAAACAACCAAATTCCAGAAAGTTCACGACATTACTAAATGGTATCAAGAATTATGCAAATAATATATTAATGAAATTCTTTAAGGAGAGAGTGGTAAGAATAAAACAGAAAAGGGGAAAAACAAATAAGGAGACACTTGTTTTGATGTAACATCATCTTAGTTCATTGTTGTTGTTGTAATAACAGAGTTTACAAACATTATTACAAACACTAATTAATCATGCGGGAGACTGATAAATTTTTCACTCATTTACTCTCTGACCTTTTAAAGAGCAAGTGCATAAGGAATTGTTTTTGTTTTATGGTAATCTCCTATTAATGCAGTT